CCAAGTTTGGTTCCCAGCACCCACATGGTGGCTAACAACCAGTTGTAACTCCAGTTCCTGGGAAATTTGACACCTTCTGACCCCCGTGGGCATTGCCTGACATAGGCGTACTTACATACATGCAGACAAATACACTCATACACATAAAATTTAAAAATAATAAAAATATTTTTAAAGTAAATAAAGAATAAATAAAAGGTTTTTTAAAAAGATTTACTTATTTTGTATGTATGTGTCTGTGTATATCTATGTCTATGTGAATGTTATATACACATGTGTGTGCAGGTTCCTGTGGAGGTCAGAAGAGGGCTTCAGATTCCTTGGAGCTGGAGTTACAGGTGTATGTGAGCTGCCCAACATGGGTGCTGAGATTTGAACTCTGGTCTTCATGAATGAGTAGCAAGTACTCTTAACCACTAAGCCATCTCTCCAACCCAAGTGTGTAAATTTGTTTTTGTTTTTGTTTTCTGTTGAAATGGGGGTCTCACTTTGTAGCCCAATCTAGCCTGGAACTCACTGTGTAGTCCATGCTGGCCTTAAATTTATGGGTGATGTTCCTACTTCAGCCTCCTGAATGCTGATATATCACAACTACCTAGAAAATAAGTGTTTGTGAGGAAATGCAGGAATCTGAACCCTCATGAATTATGGGAGAAAATATAACGCTGCATAGTCACTGTTGAAAATAGTTTGATAGTTCCTCAAAAACTTAAAAGCAGAATTGCTACATGATCCAAAGTCTAATCCTCAGTATATACCCATGAATTAAATGTGGAGACTCAGAAACATTGATCAATGGGAACTAAATTACCCCAGGTTATCAGTTACAATAGCCAAAAGGTAGAAACCCCAAGTTCCTTCAGTAGACATATAGATAAACAAAATGTGGCAGACAGAAGCAACAGAGTATCATTCAGCCTGAAAAGGGAATTAAATTCTGATATATGCTACAATACAGATGAACCTCAAAATACTGTCCTCAATAAAATGAACTAGACTCAAAAAGATAAATCGTGTATGACTCTATTTATCTGAGGCACCTAGAATAGGCAAATGCATATAAACAGTATAACAGAAGTCAGCAGGTGCTAGACAGAGGTGGGAATCAGGGGGATTATTTAATGGGTGCTGAATCTGTGTATTGGATAATGAAAAATTTCTAGATATAAACACTGGTGATGAATACATGGCATTGTGAATACATTTGCTATCACTAGATTGTATGCTTAAAACACAAAATGGTAAACAGCATGCTAAATATACTTTATCATAGGCATTTTAAAACAATGCTTAGAAGTGAGCATGGACCTGAGGCCTTCTACCTCTATCGTGGTAGGAGTAGAGTGGCACACATGGCATGAAGCCCACAGCAACCAGTCAGTGCTGAACATTAGACAAATACAAACAGTTACACATTACTGAGCATGACACAATGGTACTCTGAGCTTAGGACAAGGGACTTTAATCCAAAAACTGTGTCCAAGTCCTCTTTAGTCTGGTCTCCTGGCTTCCTCTCAAGTACTTCAGTTCACAAGAATAGAAAGAAAGCCTGGCAACCATCTGAAATAAGTTCAACACCACAGCCTGATGGCAAGCTACCAACCAGGCCACAGACTTCAGTGCCAAAGCCCTGTTCTCACAGGGTCAGTGAGTTTGCAGACATTCACCTCTCTCCTTTCCCCTCTTTAAATCTTTCTACTTAAGTATGATACATGTAAAGGGCACAAGGTCCAGTGGGGTGACTCAGCAGGTAAAGGTACCTGCCACCAAGCTTAATGACCTGAGTTCCATTCCTGTGACCAACATGGTGGAAGGAGAGAATGACTCCAGCAAGTTGCAAGTTGTCCACTGGCCTATACACTAACACAAACACACACACACACATTCAATTTTAATGTAATAAAACAAAAAGGGGATAAGAACAATATTTTTAAAGCCTGATAGGAAAAAACAAATTCAGTAATCCTTTTTCCCCTTTTCATTGAATTTTTGAAATTTCCATACAATATATTTTTAGATCCCTTCCCCTAGCCACATTTACTACACTTAGTACGCTCCCTTGTCCAATTTAATGCACTCTAATATATATATATATATGCCTATAGAGGCTAATTTGTGTCCCCAAATGTCCTTCAGTGTAGGCCCATCCACTCTGTTTTTAAAAAGATTTATCTATTTAATTTTATGTGTATGTGTGCGTGCCTGAGTATACATATGTGTATCATGTGCGGGCCACCATATAGGTTCTAGGAACCAAACCTGGGTCCTCTGGAAGAGCAGCTGGCACTATTAACCACTGAGCCAACTCTCCAGCTCCCAAACTCAGTAATCTTAAATTCATCTCTTTATATATTAGGAGTTTAAAAATAAAATAATTACAACACAAATAGCATTTTTGAACATGTCAAATGTTAAATAATTTCTTTTCTTTTCATTTATATTTTCACCCAAATGGGTTAGAGATACAGCTCACAGCAAGTGCTTGCCAAGTATATACTAAGCCAAGGCTCTGGATTCTAAACCAGAAAAAGAGAGAGACAGACAGACAGAGAGAGACAGAGAGAGAGAGAATACTCAAAGTACACCAGGTATGGTGGTACCAATCTGTAATCATAATGCTCAGGAGGCCAAGGCAGAAGGAATTACAAGACCCTGCTCACCAGCAAAAAAGCCCTCAAGGTGCACCTTAGATGGTCAACTTAGCCATAAGACTGTTAAACAATGACTAGGATCACCAGTTTCTACTAACACACTTCACTTTTTCTCATTGTTTACATCTTTGCCAAGTCATATAAGAGCAGCTCATCCACATTCAAGACATAGCCCTGGGCATGGTGGTACACACCTTTAATCCCAGCACTCAAGAGGGCAGAAGAAGGTGGATCTCTATGAGATGGAGGCCAGCCTGATCTGCATAGCAAGTTCCAGGCCAGCTAGGGCTACAGGGTGATCCTGTCTCAAAAAAACCAAAAAAAAAAAAAAAAAGAAAAAAAGAAAAGAAAATACTGAGAAAATATATCTGTATTAAACAGACAGACTTTAAGTTGGGGATGGGGCTGGCACACACTTTAATCCCAGCACTCAGGAGGCAGAGGCAGGCAGATCTCTGTGAGTTCAAGGCCAGCCTGGTCTACATAGTGAGTTCCAGGACAGCTGGGACTACAGGGAGACCCTGTCTCAAAAAGACCAAAAAAAAAAGTTATTGCATTTTAATTTATTTTGTGTGCATGTGTGTGCATATGTGGGTATATACATGCCACTGTGCAGGTGTGGATGTCAGAGGACAACTTGCTTGAGCAGGTTCTCTCCTTCCATCATGAGGGTCCTGGGAGTCAAACTCCGATCCCAAGGCTTGGTGGCATTTACCTTTGCCTGCTGAGCCATCTAGTTAGCCCCTATTGTACCTTTCAAATTTGTCAGACTTTGGGTTTAGGAAGAATATAATATGCACATGGGTGTGTGTATGTGTATCTGCTATAATGATTAATAGAATGGACTTCAGGGTCAAATAAACCAAAATCCACTACTGCAATTAGCATTGTTTTATATTAACTGAATAGCCGGGCATGGTGGCACTGAATAAAAGGCACTCCAAATTTACTTATAAAAAACTTAATGAATACTCTTTTAAATTAAAATTGGGGCTGGAGAGATGGCTCAGCAGTTAAGACCACTGGCTACTCTTGCAGAGGACCCAGGTTTGGTTTCCAACACCCATATGGCTAGCAATTTTCCATAACTACAATTCCAGGAGATCTGACACCCTGTCTTCTGGCCTCTGCAGGCATTGTACAACATGAATGCACTTATACACATATACATAAAAATAATAAATCTGAAAAAAATTTAAATAAATAAAATTAAAGCCAGTATGGAATTACTAAAGAACAGAATATGTGAAAAAACCTACCAGCCAAAAGAAAAAACTTCCTTTTCTTTTGTTTTTTGAGACAAAGTCTCACTATATAGCCCTGGCTGGCCTGGAACTCACTAGGTAAACCAGACTGGCCCCAAACTCACAGAGATCCTCCTGCCTCTGCCCCCCAAGTGCTAAAATTAAATGCAAGCACCATCATGTCTGGCTTATTTCTCTTCTTAATGATAAGAATTTTTTTTTTAAAGGCTGGGTGTGGTGGTCCATGCCTTTATTCTCAGCACTTGGGAGGCAGGCAGGCAGATCTCTGCAAGTTTGAGGCCAGCCTGTCTATGTACTCAGTTCCAGACTAGCCAGTGTTGCACAGTGAGACCCTTTCTCAAAAAAATATAAAAAAATAAAATAATAAATAAATAAATAAATAGAAAAGAAATCAGTTTCTATTAGAAGATGTAACTGGAGCACTTCTTTGATTATCTAAAAATAAATATGATTAGCTGACTCTGTAGTCTAGATATTCTCCACCTAATTACCAGTTTCTTTCCCCTCTCTCCCTCTCAAAAGATGTAAGCCAGGTGACTGAAAGTCTAAATTAGCAGCATCTGGAGCATAAACTGAACAGCTTCAAGAAAAACCATGCTGACACCAAAATCACTCATTATAATGATTGTGGGAACTGCAAAGATCAGAGACTTGTTTGTGAGCTTTTGGTCAGAGATGGCACACTTGGTCTTCAGGTACAACACATCAATATAATTAAGATACTAAGCTAGATTACCCTCCATATTTTAATGATTATAAAGATTAACAGGATAAGATGATTTTGTTCTGTGTTGTTTAACCTCACATCTTGCTCCTTATTTAACAACTCTATCACTGCCTTAGAGACTGTGACATGATACAGGAGAAGGGATTCTGTGCACTCACATAACTGACAATTCTGTTCTAAAACAACTGCAAAGACCCTGTGGCTGGTTTTCAGAGTCTGTCTGTAACTTAGAAAATAAAAAATTTCAAGTTCTACCTCTGAAGAGGATTCTAAATTATTATATCTGCAAAGTTGGTTAAATGACTAATTCATATTGAAAATATACAGTTTACAAAGGGAAACTGAAGTTGAACTCACCTGTCCACTTTTCCCAAACTCCAGCTCTATTATGGCAACAGGGGTGTGTATTTGAGCTGAGTGCCTTGACTGAGACTTGGCATCAACTCTCCAGCTCAGACCCCGAAATCCATTGTCCCAACGGCTCTGGCTCACAAGGCTCTCTCTGATCTTTATCTTATGGCTCTTCCAAAACTTGGAGATGACTGCAGCTTGTTCACCTGTGATCCCACCTTGCTTCTTGGTCTGAGCAGTCAAGAATGCCTCCAACTGATTGAAATCCATGTCTGCAGATGCAACAGACTACACAGATAACAGAAAAGGCAATAGGTTTGAACTTGGCAGATAACCAGGAAAAGTTGCTTAACTACAAAGCATATTTCTATTATTATAAATTATTTACATAATTTTGATTGAGCTTAATCACTGAGTCTGCTTTCAAATAGGGTCATCAAGTAACAAGAATGAGAATGAGGAATGATTACAATATAAATGCAAAAAACATTTCCTTTTCATATGTCAAACAAAATTCTCTACTAATAACTAGAATATAACTTTAAATATCTAGTTTCATAGTAGGGATATGAAATGAATATTATGCTAAATAATGAAACAAAAAAAAAGTCAAATTAACTGGTTCTCTGATGAAACTTTCCATATTGTCACAGCCTTATAGGCAGGCCTGGTTTGACACCACAACTATACTGTCTTGTCCATTAGAAGCACTAAACAAATTTTGTCAAATAAGTGCACTACTCTAGCTTTGCAGGCTATCTTCGGTCAAACAGCTCAATCACAATCCTACTCTGACATTATATACCATCTTAAACCTTCCTTACATTTTCAAATTTCAATTGTCATTGAACGTAGGTTCTCCACTCAAGCATTCAAGAAGACAGTAACTAAACAGAAGCATCCTAAATGTATAATAAAATGCCTTAAGTATACACAGTACTTTTTAACCTTTCAAAGAATTTTCACGTCCATTACTTGAACTGAGACTCATAATCCATCTTCAAAGACACTATAGTAGACAGAAGCACTGAGAGGTGCTGATCATGAGGAAGCCCACTGACTTTCCCCAAAGCTCAGCGAACCAAGAAGTCCTAACTCTTAAGCCATGTTTCTCTGGTTATTTGTCATAAGTAATTAAATAAAGATGTAGACTCTACTATTACTATCAATTAAAAAAAAATTCCAAACTGGTATATTCTACCCACAATGATATGAAAATGTCACTACAGGAAATTAGCTACAATGCTTTATTCACTGGCCTTTAGAGACGCTGAAGCATAAACAGTAAAATAAGATCACCATCAACTTTTTCTTCTTTTTCTATGATTTGGCTGTTTCAGGGAGGAATTTGTGCTATCGGAACTTAAAGAGCCAACTAAGTTTAATAATGAATAGGAAATCTGAGAGGAGAAACTGAGAAGGCAGTGTGGAGTCAGATTACAGTGTTCCAAAACTCAACTAAGACACTGTTGTGACAGGCAATAAGGAGCCAGGAGAGGCTAGGCAACTGGGTAAAGTCAGACAAAGCTGAATTCCAGCTCTAGAAGCTAATCTGAGAACACCAGTCACTGAGGTAAAGTGGGAGATCATTGAAGGCTGGAGCCATGAGGTTGGGAGAGGATCCTAATGGTTAACGGTTTTGTAGGGCAAACTTTGCCTTGCCTTTCATATGTTGCTATCCTCAGGCACAGAGGCTGTTGGTAGGAGAACCAAACCAGGTAAGTCAGAGTACTCTCTTTCCTCTGGGCACACTGCTAGATCTAAATCAATTTTCCATTTATAGCAGGAAGAGAAGTGGTCTTGCCTTTGGGGATCACAATACCAGAAGGGTGTGAGACTGCGCTTGTGGACAGCTTATTTCTTTAACTTTTTGGTACAAGCCTGATTGGGAAAGAAGGAAACGGAGAAAGGAGGAGACAAATGGGCAGAGAAAAGGGGGGTGGGGGGAAGTAGGAGGATATGAAGCCAAGTAGAAATGGAAGGGGATTCTAAGTACTGATATCTGTTTTACAGTCCCCAGGGCTCCAGTTCTTGTAAGTCTTCTTTCAATTATGGGTGCTATCTCAGCAACCTTCCTGCCTACATGCACCCCAAAATTCTACTTACTGGGGCTGGAGGGATGGTTCAGCAGTTAAGAACAGTTGCTGTTCTTTCAGAGGACCCAGGTTTGATTCACAGCACCCACATGGCAACTAACAACTATCTATAATTTCCGTTCTAGGGGATCCCACACCCTCTTCTGGTCTCTGTGAGCATCGCATGCATGTGGTATAGGTATACTTTACATGCACGCAGGCAAAGCACTCAAACACATAAAATAAAAATTAAAATATATATTTTTAATTCCACTTACTATTAAGAGAATTTAGGCCCTAGTCTTACCATTTGGACTCAAGAGTTGTCACTACAATAGGCACCAGCAGTAGGAAGGATTCAAAGGCAGACAACATCAGGTAGAACACAGCTAGAGGAAGTGGAACTGGGACTGAGAGACACATGCTGCTTTTCATTTCCCCGTGAACATAAAATTATCTGGCAAGCATCACAACTTTCTAGTAAATATACTTCATAAATAAACATTTATTGAGTATCTGCCTATTTACCAAATATTAGATCCAAAATCTCTGGCTTTGACTCTCAATAGGAATATTATTTTAGAGCCAGGTTTGATAGCTCATGCCTGTAATCCCAGCACTCAGGAGGTAGAGGCAGGAGTTCAAGGCCAACCTGTTTTGTACAGCAAGTTCCAGGACAGCTAGATCTTCATGACAAGTCCCGGACTCAAAGAGAAAGAAAAAAGAGAGAGAGATACACAGAGAGGGTTATTTTGTATAATATACTATAAGTTAAATTACTTATATCTCTATTAGCACCTTGCTTTATGATATCATGATACAACTCAGATGATTTATATCATTATTTTCCTCATCATACCAAGAGGTATCTATTCTGTTTATTGTAATTACACCTGTAATCTCAGCATTTGGGAAGTGGTGGCATGAGGATCAGGAAATCAAGGTCATCCTCAGCTACATAGTGAATTCCAGGCCAGTATGTCTAAAAAACAGGCAAACAAAAAAAATATTTCTATTCAGACATAACTTCACTTAAGGAGAACAGACATAAGTTATTTTGGTTGGGTTTCATTCAATATCTTGAACTGGGGGTCAATTCATCCAAATGTTAACACAGTGAAAAATTAAATGAAGAACTGACTTTGGTTTGAGTTCAAAGTCATGAATCTTCATTTACCATCAGTTTTCATTTAAATCAAGAAAAACCTAAATAAGCCACCAGGGTACCCACAGTTCAAAGGCTGCTACCTCCTGGTCACCTAAGACAGCCTGGTTATCCGTCCTTGACTCCTATCACCCCTCCACAACTTGGGTTAGTACTTCTCAATACTTGCTACATATTAGAAACATGGGTTGCATTTTAAAAATATCAGTGCCAGAAATTCTTATTTCTAATCATTTTAGAATGGAGTCTAGACAATGGCACTATTGAAAAGCCCCTCAATGATTTTAATAGGCAACAGCTAGATATTGAAAGTTATATAACTATAACATTTCAGTTATTGATTTCTACTGATTTTTACTTTTTAAATCATTCTCTAATAATAATGTCTCTTCTGATCTGTCCCTACTACTTGGTAGAGGCCCTTACTATCTTCTATCTAAATTAGGTGTGGCTACTTTTAAGTCTATCTTCTATACCACATCAAAGTTATTCATCTAAAACATCAATAGGATCCTGCCACTTCCTTGTTTACATTGTTATGTGGTATCTATGACCTGATTGTCAGTCAGTATGTTACAAAGTATCCTACTATGAAGCATAAACTGGGCACATCCCTTTTAATCCCAGCACTCGGGAGGCAGAGGCAAGTGGATCTCTATGAAATCAAGGGCAGCCTAGTTTACAAAGCTACAAAGTGAGTTCAAGGCCAGCTGAGCTATAGGGAGACTCTGTCTCAAAAAGACCCCCTCCAAACAAAACAAAACAAAATCTATTATGAGGTTTGAGGTAAATTCAAATTGGCATTTAGTAGTGACAGTAAAAATAGTAACAATGTAGCAAAAAGTCATTTGTATAAATTGGAAGGTTTCCAGGGTATCCTTGAATTAATAATTTCTTCCCTCATTTTTAACTGTTTCTCTGAACAGAAATCAAAAAGAAAACTACAAGCTAGACATTATGGCACATGCCTTTAATCCCAGCACTCAGGAGACAGAGGAAGGCCTATCTCTGAGTTCCAGGCCAGCCCGGTCTACAAGGCTAGTTCCAGGCCAGCCAGAACTATATAGTGAGACCTTGTCTAAAAAAATAAAATTACAAACACAGCATATAATAGAATGGCCCATGTCTCACATGATTGTAATGCCCCAACTGACATGATGTGGAAAAACCTGTTTATAAGTACTAGAGCCTAGAAATTAACTTTGTTTACATGAAAAGTACTCTATGAGCAGTTTTAATAAACACAAAATTTTTCATGGATGCAACTAAAATAATATGTACTTTGGTTTGCTTACAACTTTACAAACAGGAATAACACTCATACACACTGGCTTGGCATTCACTATGTAGACAAGGCTGGCCTTAATCTCACAGCAATCCACCTGTCTCTGCTTCCCAAGTGGTGGGATTAAAGGCATGCACCCCCATGCCCTGCTTGAACTATAAAGAATTTATTGGGCTAGAAAGATGGCTCAGTGGTTAAGAGCACTGGCTGCTCTTGCAGAGGACCCAGGTTCAATTCTCAGCACCCACATGGTGACTAGCAACATCTGTAACTCCAGTTCCAGGGAATCAGAAGCCCTCTTCTGACCTCCACGTGCATTGCACAACACAGGTGTACTTAAATACATGCAGGAAGGCAATACACTCATACACATAAAATAAAAAGAAATAAAATAGTTTAAAAAAAAGAATTTCTTTGAAAGATATTAAAGGACCATTAGAAAATGTTTACTATAAAAAACAGACAACAGACTACACAGAGCTGAGAATCACTGCGGGTCAAGTCCAAGCTCAAGGAAATCTGGCCCTAGCTTATCTTTTAGTACTTACTTAACTTCAGTGCCCCTCCCCCACATACACACTCTAGAAACTCAACTCCAGGAGCCTGTCTGCAATTTGCATATCTGTGTTCTGAACAGGCAGTTTTTCCATGTCCCTTGGTACTGCAGAAGTGGCCTAAAATGTCCTTCTGTCACCACCTTCACCTCATTAGCTTCTTTCTCTACATTCAAGTCTGCTGAAGCATGTCTTCCCCAATTCTGCAA